GTACTCCCTTCCACCAGTGGATATGTCACTTCTCTTTGCATGCTCCACCCTTTCTTTTCTTTGCATGGTTAAACTGCTGTTCTAAATACTCTTTGGTACAAGAAACCAAAAAGAGACATGCATTCATCATCAAAAAGAATATTTCAAGATCTATCTTGAAGTAAAATATTCTCTGTGGTAAGATAATGTCCATACATCTACAAGGAAAACCATTTACTACCACTACAATTCAAATGTATGCATTTATCACTAAATCCAATGACCATGAAAATCTCTATACTACCCCAAACAATCAGTAGATATAAAGCAGTCCCAATCCAGATTCTAACAATGTTCTTTAAAAAGTTGTAAAAAGTAGTTACTAACTTTATATATAAAGGAAATATACCCTGGAAAAGCAAAAAAGTTTCTAAAATAGAACGAAGTAGGAAGCCTCTCACTTCCCAATCTAAAGCTACTACACTGCCACAGTAATCAAAACAGCTTGTAACTTACTTGAACAGTGAAGGACACATAGATCAATGGAATAGAATTGACAATACATTCACCTATGTTCATTTGACCTTTTGCAAAGGACAAAAACCATAAAATGGAGAAGAGGTTGTCCCTTCAACAAATAGTTTTGGAAAAACTGGATCTTCATTGCAGAAGAATGAAACAAGATCTATATCTCACAAGTAATACAAACATGAGCTCAATATGGATTAAAACCTAAATGTAAAATCTAAAAATTAATGATGAAAAAAACAGAAACACATTTAGAGGTTCTGATGATGGCATAGACACAGTATCAAATATAACTGAAAATGTGTAAAAAGCAGAAGAGAAAATAGAGGACTGAGACCTCCTAAGAATAGACACTTATGTGCTTCAAAAGATTTCATCAAAATAGTAAAAAGAGAACCCACAAAATGGGGAAAAAAACCTTTGACAATGACAAGGGACTACTCTGTAAAATTTAAAGAACTCTTCAACACCTCAACAAAAAAAAAAAAAAAAAAAAAAAACAATTAAAAAATGGGCAGAGGACATGAACATACACTTCACCAAATAAGACATTCAGGTGGTCAACAAACATGAAGAAATATAAATTTATGAGTCTTCGACTCCACTGCCTCACTGCTACTCCGCTACTCTGGCAGGTCAGAATCGTTGGTGTTATGCCAGAGAGACTTGGGCTGTTTCCCTTCAGGACCAGTGCCATGAATTGAGGCAGTACTTTTACCAAAACCTCCAAAACAGTTTCTGAGAATACCCAGAAACCAGATAAGAAGAACAATGCCCTCAAGGCTATTTCCAAATACTTCTCTAAGGAAGAGTGAGAAGAGATGGGATACTCCAAGAAAGTCATCTATGTATATATGAAGAGAAACGTTGATACCATGACTAATCTAGGTATCATTGCTTTCATCCCACCTTTCATTCATTGTAACAGACTCGACCTCAAGTCCCAGCTGGATGACTCTGATGACGATGAGAACCAGGAAGAACCTCCTCAGATGGCTTCCAGTATGCAACTGAGCAAACATCTGAAGATGAAGTCCAAGAAGATATTACATGAAGAAAATGATCCAAAGGCAATGCCAGGTAGAGCAGGCTTGATTAAAACATCTGGCATAGAGAGGTTAGGAAACAGTCAACACCCCTAGTAAACATAATCAACAGATACCAGAACCCATGAAAGAAGGGACTAAAGTCTGGTTTCACAGGCTGTATGAAATGAAGCATCAGGTAGTACATGAAGAGATCTGTGAACTCAATGAAGAGGACTAAATCTGTATCAAGAGCAGTAGAACCTGGTGACCTTTCAAGAATATCAGCCTATCTTCTATTATATCTAGTATGTCATCAAGTGGGGTTTTCCATTCCTGGCCATCAGATGTAATATAAGTGAATGAAAGCTCACAGCAGTTAAAAGTTAAACATTAAGATTCCTTACTATGTCACAACACTTGGTTAGATATAAGAGTTTCATTGATGAACAAGACATAGACCTAATGCATAGTTCTGTCTGGGTGCCTATGCACATTCCTCAGAAAACAAGTATTGTCAAATATAGTTTGCACAGTATATCATTACCTCCTCCCTTACCAGATGTGACTACTGAGAGAAGTTTTGGGTGTTTACTTCCAGACATTTTTCTCTGCACTTACACACATAGGGTACCTCTATGAGCATCTTCCAGTGTGTCCTGGAGAGATCCCTCTCGTACTGTCAGCACCCTCATTAATTTGCTCTGCAGCAGTTACAATGAATAAACATTTATGAGCATTTGGCAAAAAAAAAAAAGAAAGGAAGAACTATTCATGATCATCAGCCATTAGTGAGACACAAGTCAAAGCAACAGTGAAATATCTTACCCTAGCCTTAACAGCATAGTTCAAACAAATAAAAAACAAGTGCTGAAATGTGTGTGTAGAATATGGGACTCTCCGATACTGCTGGAGGGACTATAAATGGTACAGCCACTATGGAAAATGGTATGGCGCTTTCTCAAAAAACTGGGAATAGAAATACCGTATGATCCAGCAATCTCTCTAGTTGGCATATAGCCTTAAGAAATAAGATCCGTGACACAAATAGATATATGCACACCCATGTTCATTGCAGTATTATTCACAATATTGTATGAGACTACTGTAAAAAGTTAAGAAAAAGGTTTCATGCTACAATAAACAATCTATGATGTTTACTAGGGGTAAGAAGGGAGGGAGAATAATAAACAGAAAAATAAGTAAATAACAAATATCATTAGCTTTATATATCATTAAATTTTTTATTTCCTAGATGACTGGGAGCTAAATCTATTTATCTGCCATTCTATACAATCTTGGCTGAATTACTGTCTTAAGTGCTTACGCCATGTTACCTTTACTCCTTATTATCATATTGAAGCAGCAACCCTGAATCACTGCTCCAACTCTTGGCTTCAATTTTTTTTTTTTTTTTCCACTTAGCTAACACTCTCCCTTCACAAACACTTCAATTCCTATAACATTCCCTTTTTACTTATTATCCTGTGTTTATTTAATCTTACTGGAAAAAGTAAAAAGAGGTCCATATGTAAGACACCAAGATTAAGTTCTCGATTGTTGTTAAATGCTGTTAAGTCAGTTCCAACCCATAGCAACCCTGTATAGGATTTCCAAAGAGTGGCTGGTGAGCTTGAACCGCCGACCTTGTGATTCAAACTGACTTTCCATTTCAGCACATTAATCCACAGTGCCTCACCAGGACTATGAGTCTACTTTATTTTTGTATATTTTATTTTTGATCAATCTAAGTTATTGATGGTGGTGGTGGTTATGTGTCGTGGAGCTGGTTCTGACTTATAGCGACCATGCATAGGGGTTCTGAGGCTGTTAATCTTTACAGCAGCAAAAAGCCTCATCTATCTCCAGTTAAATTATTGATAGATTGATAAAAAATAAAGTATACGTCTTTTGATTTTTTTCTTAAATGTCCATTTCCACAATTTTTTATATGTGTCTTCATTCTTCTGTGATACTATAATAGAAATATCACAAGTAGATGACTTTTTTAAAGAATATTTTTATAACTCATGAAACAAAAAAGTTACACACTAGACTCCTACCCCAAAATTCAGTGATACTCTTGCTAATACTACGCCGTCTGCTCCAAGCTTCATTTACTCATTCCTTTATCTATTAGTGTCATGAAGAAACAAATTCCACGAACTCAATCCTGTTTGAACTGATATGAAACTAACCCATGTGCTACAGAAGGACTAAGGTCAGTTTCAATGGATCTTTTCCTCCTTTGGCCACCATTCAGACCAGTGTTTAGATCTGATGAGAAAAGGAAATAAAGGTCCGGTGGGTCATTTAACAAACAAATTTAATCTTTCACAGTTTAAGATATTACAAGTTGAAATTTAGAGCATAGCTTTAGGAGAAATCTTTCTCTTTCTGCCGACTCTGAAAAGAAGTCGTGACTTTTTACAGCATCTTTGGGCCCAGGATTGCTTGGTGATGTCCATGTGCTTTGGCATCAACCTTCCACTGATTCTAGGAAAGACCCTGGATCCAAAGAATGTACTCCACACCAAACTCTTCTTTCTTGGTGGTAGGTGGTCCCTGTGATCTCTACTGCCTTGTTTAATTTCTTCAATATCTCAGAAGAGATACATGATACAACCTAATTCTACAGATCACATCCTGCCTTGCTAACATAAAGGCCACCAATCCTGCTTCATTAACATCATAGGGATTAGGATTTACCACACAGTATAATTACATAATGTCACAATATGGATAATCATTACATAATACTGAGAATTATGGCCTAGTCAAATATACATATAGTTTGGAAGGAACAAAATTCAATTCATAACAGTATCTAACAAACCAGAAATTGTTCCTCCAGGCTACAACAACCCCTTTAATGTCTCAAAACAAAACCTATTGGAGAGATTAGGAAAAGTACAAACTTTAACTCTTCCTGTGAAAAGTATGCAAATAAGATAGAAGTAATATCTGTGAAATCCCCAGTCTCTGCTGGGAAGAGTCTCTTCCCTATGACATGAATTTCTTTGATCTAAATCCAAGTTCTTAACTATGACCCTTGTATCACTTACTCATTGCTGGCATGACTGCCCCTCCTTCAAGTTCCTCCTATAAAGGCTCAGGCTTTCCTGGCCTGACAAGACATCCCAGAGTACTGCAAGACAGGTAAGTGGGAGCTATGGAAAGATGAGACCCACATCAAGGGTTTTTCTTCACACACTATGAGGAAAGGTATAGAAGGAATCAGTCCTTGTGGAATATAGCAGATCAAATTCAGCAAAGGAATGCCTAAGAGCATTGTTGTTCTTGTTAAGTTCCATTCCAATCTCCCCAGAATTACAGAGAGATAAATTTCTAGGGTTTCAAAGGAAAAGACAAGAATTAGGAAAGGAGAGGCCTCTACTTGTACTCTCTCTTTCTCTTTCTGATGATCTTTCCATTAGTCATCTCTGATTATCTCCTGAAACAGACGCAATGCTGTTGCCTCACGTGGCCCTCCCCAGTGTGTTGTGGATACTGCTTTCCTGTCTAATGCTCCTATCTGATGTTCAAGGTAAGATTTTTCTTCCTCTAGTACTGACTTCCTTGTGAATGTTCATGGCCAAAAAGAGGAGAAATCCACTTGTGTGAAACACGTGTTAGTGATAAAATATATTCCCACAGAATCAAATGATCTGCAATTCCCAAATCATTGCTATTTCTTCTAGTTATGGAAGGTATCACACTGGTTTAATTACAGTAAAATAGATAAAGTTCGATTTTTTCAGTGGATTCTAATTAGTGTTGGGAGGTTGAAGAGACAAATTATGAAGAACTAATCAGATAAAATATGAAGAGTCAATGATGAATTATGATAGAGAGGGTCTAGTGACAGAGCCAGTGATTAGCCAATGATAGAGAGGGTCTAGTAATACAGCCAGTGATGAGCCAATGATAGAGAGGGTCTAGTGACAGAGCCAGTGATAAGCCAATGATATAGAGGGTCTAGTAATACAGCCAGTGATGATCCAATGATAGAGAGGGTCTAGTGATAGAGCCAATGATGAGCCAACAATAGAGAGGATCTAGTGATTGAGCCAATGATAGAGAGAGTCTAGAGGCGGGATAGCCATACAGGTAGAGTTGGACATTGAAGAAGGTGGGAAGATAGAAAGAAGAGAAATGGCCCACCATTTAGAGGAGCTGCTTCAAGGTCAGGAAATGCTGAGAGTTGGCAATAGTGAGAGGTGGTCAGGAGGGTGACATCACTCCCATGTACTGACCTTATGGACATTCCTTCTTTTTTTCCTCCCTCTCTTTCCTCTCGCTAAGCCCCACACTTCATCTCATTGTGTTTGTCTACATTATTTTCCTTCTACCCCAGGTGAAGATTCTCAGAAAAAACAACATGCTTCATATTTCAGTATATCCAGCTGTCCTGAAGGCTCCAATTTCTATGACTCCCACTGCTATGCCTTGTTTCTGGAGCCAAAAACCTGGAATGATGCAGATGTATGCAGTATGGTGTGGGGGATGGGGGTCATAACAGAAAGTTCATGGTAGACCATAGGAAAGAGTGGGGTTCTTACCTTCTTCATAGTGTCATGGGGTGATAATGTATCTTTTGTATATTCCTCCTTGCACCTCTCCCGGTGAAGTGTCAATTCCTCCCTCTGCTTCTTCATTCCCCACACAGTTGGACTGCCAGATGCTGCCTTCAGGACATCTTGTGTCTTTGGTCAGTGAGGCAGAAGGATCTTTTGTGGCATCCCTGGTGAAGACCTCTTCACACAACTATTCGAATATCTGGATTGGACTTCATGACCCCTCAATGGTGTGATAGCATCCTTTCTGCGCTCTTATCTCTAAAATGACTATTGCCTCACAGACTTCATATTTGTTCAGTGTTCCTACTCAGGATGAGCTCCATGGAGCCTGAGAGCTCAAGGATCTTAGAGAACATTTGGGGGAAAGGGAGGGCATTGATGCCTGCAGGAAAGCGGAGTTCTGTGGAGATCTGGTCTATAGCTGAAATTAATCTGCCTCATTTAAAGCATTTTACACAATCCATAAGGCTTCAAATTTCACTTCTGTGAGCTTCCAAGGTCTGTGTAAACTGGGCTGAGGCAATTCTAGACGACAATCTTTTTTGCCCACTGTAGAATAGGCACAGATTTTAGATCTCAGAGATAATCACCAATAATGTGCCATCACTGGTTGTTTAATCAGTGACAGGCTACTTTGGGTGATTTTGTTGTGGTGGTGGTTTTAGGATTTGCCAAAAGGAGCAAGTAGTTATGCAAGAGCTTCCTAGATTAGATGGTTCTGATAGGGCATATGGAAAAGCAGACCATTCCATGATGTTGCAGTGGGGATCAAATATTCCAGCTAAGGACTCATGCTAACAGAGCTGTACTGACCATTCTCTTGTCTCTCCCCATCTTTCACTCAATAGGGCTTGGAACCCAATGCACGTGGATGGCAGTGGAGTAACACAGATGTGCTTAATTACCTTTCTTGGGAGAGAGATCCCGCCACCATATCAAACCCTGGTTACTGTGGGACCCTGTCACGAAACACAGGTATTAAATATAGGAATCACTATTTACCCAACTTTCCTCAAACTCTCATTCCTCTTCTATGGACTTGATCATCATAGACCTCTTCTAAGTTAGTAAGGTCAAGGTTGTTTTATTTTATCTTTCCATCCTCTCTTTTTTTCTACTTTCATTGTGTCTCTTTCACATGTAGTAGGGCACTGTAAGGACATTACTTTTAATCCTAGGCTTGAATTTGGGATGCCTCCACATTCGGTTTACAAACTCCAATAGTTCCATTTACCTCACCCCTATGTCTCTCCAGGGTTCCTGAAATGGAAAGACTATAACTGTGATCAGAAACTACCCTATGTTTGCATGATGAAGAACTAGGACAGGTGCAAAGAGAGCAGCTGGGGCTAATGAGATCATCAAGGACGTGAAGCCTAGCGTGTGAAGAACTCAGGCAGAGAATAGTCTCCTCTACTTCCTCAACTTGATCTCTTCGTCCTGATCCTCTATCCCTTCCTCACTATCCACCCTCATTTTAGGGTTTTCTGTTTTGGGTCTATGACTTAAGTTGTCTAATAAACAGAATAAAAATTTTATTCCACAATTGTTCATCTTGTGTGTTTCATTGTCTTAGCCACACCCTAAGGAAGAGAAATGGGTGGGGGAAGAAGAACAGTACATCTTGTCTGTGTCTAATTTTTATCAGACCTTAGTGAAAGTGAAAAAAATGTGCTTCCTATAGTTTATCTGTGATGAGTAGTAGAATGTGAACTTGGAGGAACTGGGTTATGGGTAGACCTTCGTTTTCTACAAATCCTATACATTCTCCATCCCAGGTCTGATGGTGTGACACAACCTATCTTAGGGGGCTATGATAGTGTATTGAGTAGTACTTCTCAAACTTACTGGGGTGAAGGACCAGGCTCATTTTTCTTCTTTCTTCTTTGGACTATTGCTTCTTAAAAATACAATAAAAATTAAGTACTTGGAATTCCAAATTAGCTGTGACATATAAAGCACTTGGAAGTTGTCCCCTCTTCCACAAAAAGAAAAAAGGTTGGATAATATGAAAATCTATAACTGAGATA